AACCGGTTCTCCGAACTGCTTAGAAAGTTACCAACCAGTTCTCCCGAATAGGTGCGAACCGGCTGAATCCCACCACTGGGTATAGCGTCTCCTGCTTGAGCAGAGGGTTAGACTAGAAGACCTCCAAGGTCCTTTTCAACTCTACAGTTCAACAGTTATTCTGTTACATTTAGATGACAGATATTATTCAAAGGAAAGAGAAACACATCACACTTGTTATACAACAAAAGGAAGGGTGCAACTGTAGTTTTCAATAGCAAAACAGAATTTTAATATTTCATCCAAGGCGTAAAAATCCTCACTTTCTTTTGCTTCAGCCTGTAACAGTTAAACAATCGTGTTCCTATTACAGTTATTTAATTGGGGACATGTTATCACATCCTAAGCCCTTTCCAGGCTTGCTAACAATGAAGCTTTCTGAAACGTTAGCAGATCATTAGATTTTTTTTTCCTTCCTCTTGCAAACTGAGTAAATAACCCGTAAGGGTAATGATGGGAAAATGAGATTATTGTTAGAGGCACAAAGAATGTTTTTAAGTGGAGCAATCATGTGGGACACACTTGGGTTGAAGGGCAGCCTTCCTTGTCAAATCAATGATGACAATTTCTAATATTTACTCAGAAGCTTGGAAGAAAAGCATGAAATGTCAAATGGAGCCAAGCACTTTGCCCATTAAAAAGGGGGGGGGCAATACAAGCACCTGCCAATATGGAAAAGGGGGGAAGGGAGAAGGGGAAAACAGAAAAGAAAACATTAAATATGTAAGTATATATCCAAAAGCGAGATATAAAGGGGAGGAAAATATAGTTTGGATAGATTAGTGAACGAAGGGGAATAAGAAATGATACTAAATTATATTTGGGTTTACGGAAATACCATCCCAAGGAAACATAAACTGAGATTTGAAAGAGACACCTATAATAACAGAAAAAGAAAGGGAGAGAGGAGGAGAGAATGAAAGGAAGATGGGGAAAGAAGGAAGAGAGAAGGAGAGGGGATGGAAGGGAGAGGAAGAGAAGGAGAGAGGGTAGGAAGGGGAAGAGGAAGAGTAGGAATAGGAGAAAGGAAAGGGAAGAAGGGAGGAGAAGGAGAGGAGGAAGGAAGGAAATAGAGAAGGGAGGGAGGGAGAAAAGAAAGGTAAAATAAGGTGGTGTTACAAAAGGAGGAAGGGATGGTAAATAAAGCAAGCCAAACTGTAGATAATAACATGAAATGGAATAATAAATGTATAAGAATGACAAATGTGAAGAAGAATAACAATTATGTGAATGTATACTTAAAATGATATGTAAGAGAACAAAAAAAGTTTAAAAAAATTCTGGAGGAAGCATCTGCCAATATGTTTTCTCCTCTAAAAAAATTATCTGAAGCAAGTCTCAAGATTAACATCCCAGGCCACCTAAATGTACAGGTAGTCCTCGACTTATAATAGTTCATTTAGTGACGGTTACAACAGCACTAAAAAAAGTGACTTATAATCTTTTTCACACTTATGACTGTTGTAGCTTCCCAGTGGTGGGTTTCAAACAATTTTAGAACCTCTTCTGTAAATGTGGTCTGCTTTGTGGGAGTGGCTTGCTGGCCATGTGACTGGGTGGGCGTGGCCAACTTGTAAAATGTGGTGAAACTCACAACAATGCTCTT